ATGATTGTGGGTTTGAAAGTTGCCAATAAAAATGTTTAATTTTATTCATTTGTCTGTTTCCTTTGATTGTGAAGTGTGAGACACTGCGTATCACACAGGGATGGCGGTGGTTCCGAAATATCCTGGAGGTTCCCAAATATCCTGCGCCAGGTGCAGGATAAATGGGAATGGTTCCCAAATATCCTAGGATTTTTGGGAACCAGTTCCGATTTATCCTGGTTCCGAAGTATTCTACGACACCGGGACCGATGTTGTGTCCTCAGGGAAGGCACTTTACACAAGCTTTTCTCACTTGACCAATCGCTACCCCAGAATTGCAAAACTCTGTCTGCTCTGTACCTAGTTTTGAGAAATTTGACATAAAAAACTTTGCGTTTCACAAAATGTCAAACTTTGTCGACTGCAATTCTTTGAATATCTTGATAACGATTCCGAATAATCTTACGATTTTGACAGAGCTGACGGAACATTTGGTTTCTAACCTCATGGTCTCCGTAACTAGTTACTCAACACGGCCAAAAATGTTAGAGAAAACTTTGTACTTCCAAGGTAACGCAGTGTCGATAGGCAGCAAAATATCTTGTCAGTTTGTTAGTATTTGAAAGCTTATTTTGCTGCTTTCACTGTATGCTTCCTAGGAAGTCAAGATTGTGTTTTGAGTGTTCTAGTGTCTGCTGGGGTAATTATAGTTGTAAACCGCACAGGGCGTGTTGTAGAGTGTGTATACATTTGGTCAAACTAAATCAAATTAAATACATTTAAAAAGCCCACCCCTTTCCACCCAGACCAATCCCAACTTCCATTGTTTTTTTTTATGATGATGATGATGATGATGATGATGATGATGATGATGATGATGATGATGATGACGATGAACAAAAGAACCAAATGAAATGACTAAAACAAAAACAAAGTTATTGCATACGGGACTTTAATACACGAGTGGGGGATGTATAAATAAAATAAGTTGTATCGAAAATAGAATAACTTCCACTTTTTGTATACTGAACCACAAGGCTTATTGGCAGAACACGAGTACGTCATAACAATGAAATATCATAAAGTAAGGCAGTGCATAGTCAAGTAGAAAATATCTTATGTAAATATGTATATATATACATGTAGAACAGTTGGTAACAAAAAGTTAACTTCTTTTTCTTCGGCTGTCCGCCGCTTTCAATGATGACTAAAGCGGAATGCACGACACAGCTTTATTAAAATGTTAAGTGTCCTAGCCTGTCTTGAGAGCAGACAACAACCTTGTGGTAACACACAATATAGTGTGTTCAATCTTCATACAAGCAATATGGTTGATGTCTGCTCTCAAGGCATAGAAAAAAAGCCAGATTGCCGAAGTACTATTTCTTTCCCTTCAGATCTTGACTTTCTTGACACGCTCCAAAAGAGAGGTGTCGTCAATACGTTTGGAATTAAGGAAGATATAAGAGTTAACTTAATCCTTTATTCGACACTTATTTGACCTAGTGCGCACATTTGGAGTCTCCACTCTGAGTGGGGTCGTGTTTGGGCCACAGCGGCGTCAAGTGCGAAATACGAGTTTGACAAAGTAGTATCTTTTAAGAACGAGAACGGAGGTTCAAAATTCATTCACTTTTCCAGAACAATTAATCACAAGAGAGTAAGTGAGGTGAGTTAGGTCTATTCACAGCTCACAAAGCACACACAGTCCAGACATAAGAAGCTTAACCCGTGTGTCCATCGTGTGAAGAAGGATAGATGCTATAGCTTTCCCTATTGGGATGCACCAATCATAACGATTAGATTAGCATACTCTTTTACATAAACTGAATCTGGGCACAGACAAGAGCTACAAGGTGTCATAATGTTACGTACAGTGAAAGTTCTGTTCACTCTAAATATTAATTTATAGGCTTTTGGCCATAGAGCAGTTTGCTAGTCTGTGATCAGACTTTTGTGTTTGATTGCCCAAGATCTACAGCGTGGTTAGTGTCTACAGACTTGAATTAGGATATCCAAGACTAGACATTTCTGAAATAATTGTGATTCATTGTGGAGCACACCATTTGTCTAAATTTGTAACCGAATGAAGGGCTCATCAGCGAAGAAAAGTTTTTGTAGTTATAGCAAAGAGCGGCTTCCATGACAGTGCCTGTCTATGATATTAATATTGCCCAAGTCTATGGTAGTCCAGAATATAATCTGAGACCAAGGCTGGAGTTCGACAATATAACCAGTAGGCATTGATATGACAGCATTATAAGAACAAATACAAATACATATTATTTTATTGTTTTAATTAGTAGGGATTTCGGTAGTCGTGATGGTTAAAGTGAAACGATTTTGCTGATGTGTTTTTATGAGGTACTTTTGTGGAAGAGAGATGTACTGAAACATACAAGAGAGTGTTGAATATGATAGGTGACAATAATTGGCGGAATTGTTAACTATGCAAGGGAGTGCAGGTAGTAAGATATTTCTCAGGCGTGTGTCTTTTGAAAAAGAAAAGGGAGTGGGCAGGGGGTGGGGAGGTGGGAAGGGTGAGGTGGAGTGGACGACGAACATTTTTTGAAAAGAGCGACACGGTATGTTAAATGTAAATAGGTTCACATATCGCTGATGCTATGTCAAAATTGACAGAAGTCACAGTCTTTTAGCGATTAAAGACAGCAGATCAGACAGACAGAAGAAATATTCTTTGTCGACATGGTGTTTTGTCAAATAAGTGAATGGAAGACATAATTATTAGCCGGTTTGACAAAATATTTGAACACTTAGAGGGCTAGTCCATCACTTCAGTGGTGTAGTATTAAAACTCTTCACTCTCGCACGCGGAAGACATCAGCTCCATTCCAGCTGGAGAACGTTTGTACAATCAAGTGTTTGTCTTTCTGTTGGGATTCTGTAATCTAATGATTCCAGGTTGTCTCCGAGCTAGCAGACAAAAGCAGCCGGCCCCCTATACGACCTTAATTGTATGGACGAAGCTGTAATGTATTTACAATCGCATAAAATTGTCAAAAGGAAGACCTGTATATTTGCCACTATGGTTACGTGTTCTTGCTTGAGATATCATCGCGTAGTTCCTTAGCTGAGAAGGGCACTGTTCTAACGAACAAAAATACATTGTTAATAAATGTAGACCTTATATTTTTATAATTGCTCCTCAAACTTTTAATCGCTCCGTCTTAAGCACCATTGTAATATGCCCAGCCAAACGTCTCAACACCAGCAAGATGCAGCGAAAAGCTTACAACGAAGTCTGTAACACATTCAGCATGATATCATATATCATATCCTAAATCATGATTCAGACAACAAAATTGTCGTTTTAATGGGTTTTACCCCCCACCCAAAAAAAGTTCGAAGGAGGTTGGCAGAGGAAGGGGAAATTCGTCGCTGTATCACACAAGATAATGCACACAGCGTTTTCTCCTCTGTTGTTCCATCCACTCGGAAACCTCTGCGCCCATTCTCACACACACAGGCGACCTGACACTCAAAGTGAATGCATGAGTGCATGCACTTGACCCCTTCCTCCTGACCTTTGGAGCAGGTTTCTGTTTCAAGGCCCCAGCGGGAGCCACCGCCCACCGCCCA